AAAAAAAAAAAAAAAAAAAAGCACATCAGCTGCAAATAAGAAAGAAGAAAAGTAAGGGTGGAAGGAAACAGTAATCAGTGCAACTCTGACAGCTCACCCATCCGGAGTCATTGGAGTGATGGTAGCAGCGACAAGACCTTCTAACTTCTTCCCGGGTGTCATTGAGCTGTTTGGAAAAAAAGCCATTGCCATCTGTGTTCGAGCGCTTCTGTGMAAGGCTAAAAGCCCCGCGGGCGGTCCCTGCCGGGCACTGAGGGCGGCTCTGCAGAGCCGCGGGCTCCGAGCCCCTGCCATGGAAACGGATGGCGGGCTCCGCCCGGCTCCCCGCTCACCTCGATTGCCCCGGCAGCGGCTCCCGGGGCCGCTCCAGCGGCGGGGCGGGGATGGCCGCGGGACAGAGCCGGGGACAGGGACAGGGGCGGGGATGGCCGCGGGACAGAGCTGGGGACAGGGACAGGGGCGGGGATGGCCGCGGGACAGAGCTGGGGACAGGGACAGGGGCGGGGCAGCAGCAGACGGCCCCGCACAGCCGGCCCTGCTCGGCCCATCTCCGCCCATCCTCCCGTGTCCAGCCCATCTCCGCCCATCCTCCCCGTGTCCAGCCCATCTCCATTCAACCTCCCCGTGTCCAGCCCACTCAGCCCAGCTTTTCCGTGCCCAGCCCATCTCCGCCCATCCTGCCCGTGTCCAGCCCATCTCCACAGGCAGGCCCCGCCTGCCCTTGCTCAGCCCACCGTCTGCCTGCCCCGCAGCCCGCCATGGGCCCTCTGCGCAGCCGTGACCCTGCGAGCTCCCGCTGCCCCCGCTCTGTGCAAGAGAGAAGGCTGGTTTGCGTTATTCAGCGTTATCTGCAAACTTCAACGTCAAAATAATAAATGATGTTTTAAATATTAATAAATAACAGGATGGAGACAAACATAAAATCTTGGAATTGTTTGGGTTGGAAGGGACCTTARCAGGTCACCCATTGCCACSCCTGCCATGGGCAAGGACACTTCCCGTGTCCCAGGCTGCTCCAAGCCCCAATGTCCAGCCTGGCCTTGGACACTGCCAGGGATCCAGGGGCAGCCACAGCTGCTCTGGCCACCGTGTGCCAGGGCCTCCCCACCCTCACAGGGAGGAATTTCTTCCAAGCACCTCCCCTAATGTTGTCCTCTGGGACYTGCGGAGGTGCTGGAAGCACTCCCAATGGCCTTGCAGTGTCCCGGCTAGGGGACACACTGACGGATCCATGTCCCTGTGTGAGAAGGGCAAATGGAGCTCAAGCCACCCGTTCCTCGCATGCAGCCCAACGTGTGGTTTTACCAGATGTGTACCATGTCCAGTGTAGAGTGTGGGCTCCATGGCAGCACAATCCTCTCTGTCCCATCAGAAGCGCAGCTCGGCCAGGAGTCACATCTGCTCCCAGATCAGATTCATAGCAATAAACTTTCAAAAAGTATTTMAAAAAATTGTCTTCAGTGTGCACTCTCAGAACTTTCATTAGAGTATGTTTTGAGAGCACCCAGTGCCTGCAGAGAGAACAATCCCCCATTGTGTGATCCAGGAGCACATTTTTCATCTATTCACATCATAATGGCAGGAGTTTGGGGCTGTGGTATTCCTCCTCCTCTCCAAAATATGCTCACCGTGGGCTGTTTGCATGCAGAGATCACTTTCTCTAGGGTTTGGCCTTATTAGCAGCTCCTCACAAAGCATGTGTTATTTGCATTTTCTTAGAGAAATCTCCTTTCTCTACGCTCTTCCTTTTCTACAGTTAATTTCTCCATCTCCAGGCTCAATAGTTCCAGCTCTCACAACCTCTTCCACCTCCACCAGAAGCACCAGTGCATCTCTGGAAGTTTAGAAACAAGTCAGTGAGCCATTTAGAGAATGTCCACAAGATTTTTAAAGTATTTGATGCCTGAAAAAAGGCTTAGAAATAAAACTCCATAGACTGGTGTCTATAGAGCAGSTATTTGTTTATTACAGCGCTGGTGTAGCACTGGAGATAAGGGGGATTTCTCTTCTTAACCTATCTGCCTTTGCTTCAAGTTAGCACATATTTATACAGTGAGCACGGTGTAACATGAACATTGTCACTGCCCCCCATACGCCCACCATACACCCATCACTATACATGGGCACGGAAATACATGATATTATAGTTTTACAAGTGCACATGTGTCATCCTCAATTCGSTGGTTGCGGGGGTCTCCCTCTAATGAGATACCATCCTCTTTATCACGGTGGACTTTTAACCTTCAGGGCATGTGTAGTTGTGACGTCTATGGGTCGTAATTCTCAATTATTTTGCGRACTGTCCCATGYTTCTGCCAAGTTTTCATTAATGCTCTCTACTGTTCCTTGTTTATAGCATCTRCCTGTCTACTTTCTTCAGAACTGTTCTGATTTATGCTTCTTGGTGATTTCATGTATCTATGGACTAATCTAGCTGGTTAGATTACATGCAGCTGGTATATTATATATTGCTAATACCCTATTAAAAATATATAGCAATATATATAGCAATATATATATATAAGCTATCATTGATAATATATTGAAAGTGATTAGATTGTATTTTAATAATATGTAGAGTTATTACATTCTTATATTGATAAAGTATAAAAAAGGCTATAGAAAAWTTTCAATTAATAGACCTCATAAGCATCTTGTCACTTTGATATAGACCATATGTATCATATTTTAAGGCAGYTTTAGAGCTGCTTCATACTGTTGATCGCACAGGAGACAAACTTTACAGTAGTCTGGAGTGGTTTAGAGATGCTTAGAACTCTAGAAGTCACAGATCAGCATAAAAGGTTTTAGAGCTGCCTTGAGCTCTTCAGAKGAGTTTTTAAGCTGCATGGAGGAGTTGAGAGTTGTACAGCCGAGACTTAGAGGCATTTTAGAYGCATTTAGAGACATATTAGTACTGCTTACAGCAACAAAGAGCAGCTTTAGATTAGTTTAGGGGTGCTCTGAGGTGTTCAGAAGAGGTTTAGAAGTGCTAAAGGGGGTTTAGTGCTTTACAAGAGTTGTGGCACACTTCACAGGACTTCAGAGCTGCTTAGCAACGTTTATAGGGGGCTTGGAGGAGCTAGATCAACTTAGAGCAGTGTTAGCAGGATCTAGCAGGAGCTAGATCAACTTAGAGTAGTTTGAAAGGGCCTCAGAAGAGTTGTAGCTGTTGCAAGGAAAATGAGAAGGGCTTGAGATTGATTTAGAAGCATTTTACAGCTACTTTAAGCAGAGTGGCAGCAGTGCTGTTTAGAGGATTTTCAGAGTGGACATTTTAGAGAATTTATAACTTTTCCCTGTTGTTTGTAGCCAATTGTAAGTTTTTTTTAGATTGTTCAGATGGGTTGTAGAGCAGTGTAGTGCATTTTGGAGCTCTTTAAGTTTTCTAGAATATTGCTGTCTTGGATTGATTTTGTGCCAATCATGTATTCCTATATCCCATTGGCTTGTAATGCCCAAAAGGTGTCTGCGCCTTTAACTCCAACCCGGAAGAAGGAGCAGCCGCACAGCCACGGGCTTTTGGAGCTGGCTTTTGCTTTTTGCAGCTCAGCTCTGTGTTGCTGGCTGCATGCAGCAGAGTTACATTGATGCAGTTTTAGCTAGCTCGGGTTTGTTAGCTTCGGCAGCTTTCCCTGAACAGACCCCCTCTGCGGCTCCTGTGAATCTGCTTCTGGAGCAATKCAGCGACCGGCGGGGACAAGCTGCGCAGCTCCGTCTGGYCCGGGATTCTGGAAGAAGCCAAGTTGGCAACAGAAACACACACCAAGCCCTGTGTTGCATCCACAGTTAAGAAAGGACTATAAACCAGGCTTTTTGCCACTATTACGGGAGGGGCCACATGGGTTTCKCTTTTTGTTTTCTTTTCCCAGGGACAGGAGCCGCCATCTTTTTTTCCTGCACCACCACGTGGCGAGTGGGAGGGGGTAGCAGGCGTTCCTGGACTTTTAAATATCTAACGGTTACTTTTTATCTGTGTCCTGTGKGCACAGATGTGTGTTTTGTTAATAAAYTACTTTATTTTTTTTCTCTTCACTTTYTGCCCAAACATTTATTTCATATTGGTGGGAAAAAAATTATCAAAGTGTTTCACTTCAGAGGAAACATTTACTCTGTAAAATTTTTATCTGAAAATATCTCAAATCGAGACAATTGTGCAGCACCCTAAAGAAGTCCACACTGGTTTAGCACTCTTTTACAATCAGGTTTTTTTGCAGTGTTTTAGAATAATTTAAAAATATTTTAAAAGGTGTAACTTAGGGGGTGCAATAATAGCTCTTTCTGAACTCATTCTGAACACAGAGGTGTTTTGTAGCTGTGCAGTGGTATTTTAGAGGAGTTTAGAGTACCTCACGGCRTATTCAAGAAGGTTTAGAGGTCCCTAGAGTAGTTTAAGAAGCCCAGAGGAAATTACTAAATTGGGCCCTTAGTAATTAAGGCCCCAAGTTTCCTTCASACTTTTTGTTGCTGCTGTGTTAACTTTTCCAATACCTTCTACACTTACTACATCTTACTACCCCTGTCCTTTACTTCTACTTTCCCCAAATCACAGTTCCCTCTACATATATGGAGTTTTGATATCTGGGCTTTCCTATTTCTGGTACTTCTGGTTTGGCCTAATTACACTATGGTTTTGCCTATTTTTCTCTGCAATTAGTAAATGTATCCARATGTAATTTTCTTTCAAAGACAGACCCAAGTCTATTAGCAGAACAGATAAAAACTACCCAAGWCTAAATGAAAATTCAGAAAGACAGTACCCGTGTAAGTGATGAAATTCTATTAAAATACCATCATGTCTGGCTGATATTCTGAAGAACATCATCTGGGGAGTTGATGTGATGACATTATCTGCATCCCTCCCTCATTCACTCTGCTCCCTTATATAAAGATGCAAAGTTAAAATAAATACTGACTTCTCAGACACTAAATTTGCATTTTACACTATTAAGTTTGTTGTTGATTCTACCTGAAAACTTGTCAATTTAACTATTCTAGAATTAAGCATCACCTGGAGGATTTTCCCAACCTAGTATTTTCTTAACTGTCTTACTGTTGTGGGTTAAAATTCTTCTCCTTTTGTTCCCTTTCTTTGGGATTTTTTTTTCTTCCCCATTTGTTGCTGGGATACGTTAATTGCCGGTCATCCTTTTAATTGCTAGGTGATTAACAAAGACAATGATACCTATGCCACACCCTAATGGTCTGGCCAAGTGCTCGGAGGGAGTTTTTTGTGTGGTGGGGAGCGGGGATTGGCAGTTTAGTTTTCGCTGCTTCGCGGAGAGGAGGTTTTTTTCTGCTTGCTGGCTGCTACGGAGAAAAGCTGGCCTGTTTTTTTTTCCTGCGGAGACCAGTACCCCTGCTCATTTGGGTTCCTGCTTGCTGCACCGTGGTTTTCTCTCCTGTGCCTGGCCGGGGATCCCAGCTTCAGGGGGTGAACTCTGCTCCATCCCGTCTCGCAGCCRCGGGATTCCTGCTCGTCTCWGTGYGGTCCTGGGTTTCTTGCTGTCCAGAGGAGATCGGCGTTTTCYGCTGTGAGTTTTGCAGAGAAACTTTT